CCCCCCTTTCCAGAGCCTCCGCCAGCCCAGGGACAGACGGACAGGCAGCTCCTTCCCTGCGGGTACAGCAGGCACCGTGCCCACGACAACACAAGGCTCTATTTCAACAGCCACGTTCCCCCCGCCAGGCATCAAATTGGGGCTAAGGAAGGGGCTGCTCCATCCTGCCCCATCACCCTGAGACCCCCTTCATACCCCCTTCACCCACCCCAGGCCATGGGGGCCAGATCCAGCCTCTCCCCTTTGCAATGCGGGCAACGAGCGCTCGCAGCCTGCTCTGCCCACTCCCAGCATCTGCCTGCCACCCTGCCACAGCACCCGGTAACCCCCCTGCCAGCACCCACTGGACACAGCCCAGCTGCTGGGAGCGACCGGGACAGCTCGGAGCAAAGCTGAGCCTTGCAGCGCCAGGGACACGAACCCCCCACGGGGAAAGGAGCCCCCCCCGGCACCTCTACCCCAACCACGGCACGTCCCAGCCTTGGAAACTGCACGCAAAATGGGGTTAACAACAACAAAACAGGGTTAATGTCAACTGGGAGCAGAGCTGTCCCCACTCCCAGATGCACCGTGGGCACAGGGTGCCCACCCTCTGGCCGGGGACAGGCTCAGGGTGGGGGTCCGACGCTCACCATGCTGCAGACCCCTCCGGGCTCATTGCCAGGACGCTCGAGAGGAGGCTGATGCCAACCCCAGCCCCTCCACGGACCCAGCCACGTCCTCTGTGCCAGCGGGACGTGGCGCCTGCACGTGGCAGCTCTGCAGCCTAAGGAGGCCCCCGCTGCTCCCCACAGAGGGGCTGCAGCATCCCCCTCGCACGCTGACCTGCTCCTGCCAGCCCGTGATGCCGCTAAGCTGCTTTTGTGGCTGACCCACGTGCCCGGGCCATCAGATTAGAGCTGGGCAGCGGGCACTGCGCTGGCTGCGGGGGGAGGTTCGGCCGTCCTGGCAGCCCCACGGGGCCTTTGCCGAGCTGCCGATGCCAGTGCTCCGTGTCTCCCACTCCTGCCGCTAACTGGAACCAGCAGCGGCTCATGATGAGCCCAGGGACCCGCCGGGGGTAAGGACCATCCGGGGCAGCATCTCTGCCTGAACAGCTCAGGGCAGAGGGCAAAGGGGCAGCGCTGGGGCTTGGCCACAACCCACAGCCCCCCCCAGCAGTGCTGCCCGTCCTGCCCAGAGCCATACTGCCTCGTCCCTGCCCCGCCACCCACCCCACTCCCAGGGCAGGGACCGAGCTGCAGCTCTGGGTGACGGCAGGACGGCCTCAACCCTGACACTGCTCTGTCCAGCCAGGTCCTCTTTGGGATAAGCAGCTCCAGGGCCTCCTCTCCTTCCCTTTCTTCCCCCATGACTTTTGCATAGTGGGGACAAGCTGTGCTGTCCCTGTCCCGACCCCCGTGTCTCCCAGCGTGACTCATGTTTGTTGACCCAGGCTATTTCCGAGAGCGCAGCTGGATTGATCCCCACGGGGCATCGAGCCCCTTCCCTGCCCCGGCCCTTCCGCTTGGCCCAATGCCACCCCCGCACAGCCGTTTCCCTGCGGAGAGGGCAACAGACGGGCGATTTCGGGTATGAACAAGCCGCTGGCGAAGCGGAGCCCCACCCACCCACCCCCGCGCC